CAACTTCTACGTCTACAATGTCAACAACTTCTACATCTACATTGTCAACAACTTCTACGTCTACAATGTCAACAACTTCTACGTCTACAATGTCAACAACTTCTACATCTACATTGTCAACAACTTCTACGTCTACAATGTCAACAACTTCTACGTCTACAATGTCAACAACTTCTACATCTACATTGTCAACAACTTCTACATCTACAATGTCAACAACTTCTACGTCTACAATGTCAACAACTTCTACGTCTACAATGTCAACAACTTCTACATCTACATTGTCAACAACTTCTACGTCTACAATGTCAACAACTTCTACGTCTACAATGTCAACAACTTCTACATCTACAATGTCAACAACTTCTACGTCTACAATGTCAACAACGTCTACGTCTACAATGTCAACAACTTCTACATCTACAATGTCAACAACTTCTACAGCTACAATGTCAACAACTTCTACATCTACATGGTCAACAACTTCTACATCTACAATGTCAACAACTTCTACATCTACAATGTCAACAACTTCTACATCTACATTGTCAACAACTTCTACGTCTACAATGTCAACAACTTCTACACCTACATTGTCAACAACTTCTACACCTACATTGTCAACAACTTTTACACCTACATTGTCAACAACTTCTACACCTACATTGTCAACAACTTCTACATCTACATTGTCAACAACGTCTACATCTACAATGTCAACAACGTCTACATCTACATTGTCAACAACTTCTACATCTACAATGTCAACAACTTCTACATCTACAATGTCAACAACTTCTACATCTACAATGTCAACAACTTCTACATCTACAATGTCAACAACTTCTACGTCTACAATGTCAACAACTTCTACGTCTACAATGTCAACAACTTCTACATCTACAATGTCAACAACTTCTACATTTACAATGTCAACAACTTCTACATCTACAATGTCAACAACTTCTACATCTACAATGTCAACAACTTCTACGATGTCAACAACTTCTACATCTACAATGTCAACAACTTCTACATCTACAATGTCAACAACTTCTACATTTACAATGTCAACAACTTCTACGTCTACAATGTCAACAACTTCTACATCTACATTGTCAACAACTTCTACATCTACAATGTCAACAACTTCTACATCTACATTGTCAACAACTTCTACATCTACAATGTCAACAACTTCTACATCTACATTGTCAACAACTTCTACATCTACATTGTCAACAACTTCTACATCTACATTGTCAACAACTTCTACACCTACATTGTCAACAACTTTTACACCTACATTGTCAACAACTTCTACACCTACATTGTCAACAACTTCTACATCTACATTGTCAACAACGTCTACATCTACATTGTCAACAACTTCTACATCTACAATGTCAACAACTTCTACATCTACAATGTCAACAACTTCTACATCTACAATGTCAACAACTTCTACATCTACAATGTCAACAACTTCTACGTCTACAATGTCAACAACTTCTACGTCTACAATGTCAACAACTTCTACGTCTACAATGTCAACAACTTCTACATTTACAATGTCAACAACTTCTACATCTACAATGTCAACAACTTCTACATCTACAATGTCAACAACTTCTACAATGTCAACAACTTCTACATCTACAATGTCAACAACTTCTACATCTACAATGTCAACAACTTCTACATTTACAATGTCAACAACTTCTACGTCTACAATGTCAACAACTTCTACATCTACATTGTCAACAACTTCTACATCTACAATGTCAACAACTTCTACATCTACATTGTCAACAACTTCTACATCTACAATGTCAACAACTTCTACATCTACATTGTCAACAACTTCTACATCTACATTGTCAACAACTTCTACATCTACATTGTCAACAACTTCTACATCTACAATGTCAACAACTTCTACATCTACAATGTCAACAACTTCTACATCTACATTGTCAACAACTTCTACATCTACAATGTCAACAACTTCTACGTCTACATTGTCAACAACTTCTACATCTACATTGTCAACAACTTCTACATCTACATTGTCAACAACTTCTACATCTACAATGTCAACAACTTCTACATCTACAATGTCAACAACTTCTACGTCTACATTGTCAACAACTTCTACAATGTCAACAACTTCTACAATGTCAACAACTTCTACATCTACAATGTCAACTGACATCTTGCCACCGTGGTGACTTTTGTTCCAGCCACCACCAAGATTGAAAGGCTTCATCTAGCAGTGGATTCACAAAGGGCTCTAAGTTATGATTACGACTTTACCGATTGAAAATCCATTGATATGCGTGATGTACATTGCAATGCAGACTGTAGTGGGTTAATTGCACAGGGACGGTTATTAATGATACATTTTATTTTTATGGCCAATTTGTCACATTTCAATGTTGAGATATGACATCAGCACACAATGGCAGGCTCTTGCCAGTGATAAATGCTGCGCGTGTAATTTACTGCATACACAGAATATAGTGCGTGCATTAATGTGTGCGCTTCACAACGTGCTTACATCACTGTAAGAAGTGGGAACATTGAAGGGCATTTACTTGTGTTTTTCTGGTTGCCGACAGAGACCCATGCCATCTACTTATTGAGTCCTTTATTAGAGGGCAGCTTTACGGTTCAAGTTTTCTCCACCCTGTCCCATCTCGTGCATTCCCCTTTATTGTCATTCACCTTTCGTTCGCGTCAACGAGCAGCACCGTCATTGTTCTACCTCTTGACCTTGTCCCCAGCATCCATCTGCAATCAAGCCTTCTGCCTGGACATGTGCCAGATCCAGAGCCTTTGTCTTCTTCTGAATTGTTCTAAAGAGGCTTCACTCCTCCGAAACCTGCTGGAGCACTTCCTTGTCACTCGTTCTCTCTGTCCAACTGATTCTCTCCACTTTATTCCGTGCCTATGGTTCAAACTTTCAAAACGGCTCACGATCCGAGTGATGGGAGGCCCAATCCAAAAGAGGCTTCAGGTAAATCTACATCCAATGTTGAGTTCATTAATCGGGTAAAGCTTGACGAGGCCAAAAGTGACCGGGAGATTGAGGTCAAAGCAGCTTCAGATCACTTCTGTCGTCCACTTTCGTAAAGGACGGGAGTTTGGAAAAATATGGGCTGGTACCAGCTCACTAATGAACCACAATACGCTGCTGGTCTCGTCAAGGAGCATAAACCGCCATCGCGTGAACTCCGCTCATCCTCGCGGCAGCAGCAGCGGCGGCTTGTGGCTGCTGCCATTGAACAAAGATGGTCGCTGCATCACGCACTTTCAGATGCACTTTCAGATGCACTATCAGATGCACTTTCAGATGCACTTTCAGATGCACTTTCAGATGCACTTTCAGATGCACTTTCAGATGCACTTTCAGATGCACTATCAGATGCACTTTCAGATGCACTTTCAGATGCACTATCAGATGCACTTTCAGATGCACTTTCAGATGCACTTTCAGATGCACTTTCAGATGCACTATCAGATGCACTTTCAGATGCACTTTCAGATGCGCTATCAGATGCGCTTCTGCGGCCGTCTGGAACACTTTTCCTCGTCCTTCCCCTGCACCTCCGATTAGCACGGTTGTCTATGTACGGTGTGAAAGAAGTTCAACATACATAATTAATACATAAGTACAGTTCTCCGATGGTTTATTTTGGGATGTACCGCACTTCGTTCGGCATGAAGCCAGGACGCTGAGCTAAGCGTTGGACTCCGTGGTGAACAACACACGGTACAATCCGAAAAGCCATCGGAGCGTCGTGCAGCAGAACCCACGAGACCCCGCGCAGTAGGAGCGTCATAACAGCGTGGGGGCACGTGGCACTGTCGTGAGAATACAATGTCCTTGAAATATAAATGTGCTGAATTCACATATCAGCCAGGTATTGATTCACCCCTTAAATCCCTCCACGGTTAATAGAGACGCGTGCAACATTGGTGAGAAAGGCAGTAGTGGTTGCCTTATGGATAGACTTGCCCCAGTCATAAGAATGTGGAATTCCCACCACTGGGCCAAGACTGTAAGCAGGTGAGCGCTGCTGCAGGCTAATTCAAGTGGGAAATAACTTTGACATTTGACGAATGCGCAACTGTATATGCACACAAGCAAAGCGTTGTTTGTGTTGCACATGCATCTCACTACTTTCCCAATTTTTTTTGTTATTTTCCCTCATATAGATCCATTTCGTTTATTTTGAAGAGACTGTGATACTTAACACGACCGTGGGTATGACAAGTTGCGAAATAGGAACCCCTTAGGTTAACACTCAGAAACAATTATGGACAACACTCACAAGGGCCCTCTTATAATTTGCTTTGGTCAATGACATCCCTCCAATTAACACCTCAGTGGGGGTTGTTATTAACGCCCAGCGGGGGGCCGGGGATGGATGGCTACAGCTTTAATAAGGCCACACAAAAAAACGCTGCGATAGCGGCTAAAGGAACACATTACAATCACCGGGTTAAGGAGGCGTGCCTCGTGGTAGCGAGTGTGCGTTCGTGTGTGTGAAGTGAAGAATGTGAGCTGTGTTGTGCGTGCCTTGTTTGACTTGGACATTGAGTAAAATTAAGTCACACTGGCTTCACTGCAAATTAATACATTTGGTTAAAACCGCATAGCAACATCGCCCCCTACTGGCAGACTGTACTCGTCTGTGAAACATGTCGTCTCCTCATAGCAACGCATGAATGCCACGTACAAAATGTACTATGTTCGCAGTAACTACGTGTTATTTAATGGAAGCTTAGACCATGCATGACGGAATTTGTAATATAATTTTCACAGTATATTCTTTAAAACGCCCAAATACAGTGTTTCATCGCTTCTTCAATAATACCCCATGCAAAATCACTTGTCAGGGATTTAAATAAGTGGCTTTAAGTCGAGCGGAGGGCCCTTCCAGCAGCAACGTCTCGCACATGTTGAGCTCCCGTTTCTGCCTCCTGTGGAGCAGGTCCCAGGACGCTTCTTGGAGGTGGCGGAGCTGACGCTGCGCGAGTTCTTCTGCGCCGTCGCGGCTGCCAAGGACGTCGACCCCTCGTGGAAGAAGGCCATCTACAAGGTCATCTGCAAGCTGGACAGCGAGGTTCCCGAGTCCTTCCGCTCTCCCAGCTGCCTGTGGGAGATCACGCACCTCTAGACGTCACCGCGCTCCTTCTCCGCCCATCCTGGGGGACCTTGTTCCATAACCCGGCTGAAGAGTCACAAGTATTTCTCATCGGTGGCTTTCGACGATCTTCCTTTGAAAGCCATGGCGAGCGCATCCTTGAAGCGTCGCGACCGCGTCACTACCGAGTCGTGAAGCTAATTTGTGCCTTGTGTCCGGGCGGAAAAATAAGAGGCCCAGTAAGTCCCCGCACTTAAACGCCGCAACAAATCCACATCACATCCCTCGGGTGTTTTTGCACCTCTCCCCTGCCAGACTGTTGGTAATTCTGTGTTCCCGTGCAAGCATCTCGCTTTCATGATCCTAACATCGGCTCCGTGCCAGGACCGCTGCCCATGAATATACTGCACATCGACGAACAGGTCACGCTTGAAGCCGGTGCATGCCACGACAACGTCACTACGAACTACTTCTTTATATCGGAGTCACGACATTTATTGTCCGTCAACACTGTCAATACATTTTCTTTGCTGCAGTGAGTGCTCTTTGTGTCTTTGTTTTAACGATCCACGCAAGTCATAGTTGGCGACAATTTGAACTATTGCAAAGTTCGTGCTCGATGTTATAAAAGGCTTAAAATATAATGTTCACTAAATGTGCTCAATATAAGTTTTACATTAATTAAACAAGTCATCGTTTGACTCAATTGTAAGACCGTACAGTCATCCTGGATTTCTCCAGAATAAATAAAGATGTTGATCTACTTCTGGTTGCTTGGCCTTATGGGCTATTGGGGCACGACCATTTCGTCTTTCCACAAACTTCATGTCAATTGATACCGAGTAAATACATGACATGTACTCCTTTATCCACGAAAGTGTCACCAAGTTACCTTTTTTAGAAGGAAAGAAAATACGTCTCATTAATTTGGTAAACATGAACTATATATATATTTTTTAAATTTGGTGAATTATGTACATTAATATCCATCATTTCATAATTAGCATGTGACTGTTACGGGTTTAGTAAAGTCATGAGAATGTTCCTCACTGGGTTGATGTTTGCCGTCTGTATGTGCATTGTAGTAGCTAGTGCACCAGTAATTTAAACATTATATATCACTGTGCAACTCGTTTATTATAGCTATGGTTTGATTTCTGCATGTATGGTAGTTATAGCACAACTTTCCACCCATATCTCTCGTTAAATCACACGTTTGTACTTGGACTTAAACATTTGCCCGCACACTCCCTGAGTGCAGATTCAATAGAACTTCACTGTGCTGCATGGTAATTTTTCTACGATCTTTCCCATGCACCCCCACGACTTTAAAAATAATCTGGCCATGGAACAAAGTGTGACCCAATTTAAATAATTGATAGAGAGGGGGGAGGGGGCACGACACCCAATGATACACAAACTCTAAACTCGCTGAACGCAAAGCAGAACGGAGTAACGTCACGCATACTGCTCGATATATCGCCCACTGTGTTGCAGAGATTGCAAATTGTCCACCCCCGACCAATAAACATATTTTACTTCACTCTCGCGATTTAGAGAGGGGGGGGGGGTATTTGGGTTGGATATAGGGAGATGGGGGATAGGGGGGATATGAGGGGGGGTCAGCCCCCCACATCTCACCCCAAGATTACAGGACTGCACTAGCAACAGAGCATGGCGCATGAAGACGCACGTCTGATTATAACTGAGAAAGAAACTAGCAAAACAATAGTCTCTGTACGTGGTGAATGTGACAACTAAATATACAAACTTAGAATTACGTCATTACTCACGCAAATATCTTCATAGAAGTGAATGCTCAAACTGACGACAAAAACAATTCAGTTAAAAATGTGATCGACCGTTTTTTGAATGCTTAAGCGTTCAACTGGATTCAGCAGAGCATGGCAATGCCGTTTAATTGAACCTTCGGCAAGCTGCTGGGCCACGTGTTCGAAATGAGCAGGGTCACGCTTTCTCTCGCTGCCTCTGGTGAAGCTGAAGCACTTTCCCCGGCGTGCAGTGCGAACATTTGTCATTCCTGCTCTGGGTACGGGATGATGCCACACCTAAAACATTGCCTTTAAATGTCTTTATTTTATTTAAAATATGTATACGTATTATTGAAAAAATAAAATGCGAATGACTAATTTAAGTCATTTTCTTAATCTGTTGACCATTTCAAATTTGATTTTAAAAATATTTGGAACGTGGGGCGTGAAATTTGCCCGCCACAATCAGATGTACGTTTTGGCATTCACCAGCCGACTCTGAACCACAATGAAGTGAAAGGGCGATAACAAGAGCCTGGGATGGTCCTCAACCTGCCCCCCCCCCAACCCACGTGGCCACCACCCAACCTAAACGTTGATGACTCAACAGTCGCTCTCGGTGAAATACATTTCTCTATAACCAAGCTCATCCAATTCACGTGGAATTGACGAATGATGCTAATGTTATGAATTATTCACGACTTGTTCAACAATGCCCTGTGCTATCTAAGCGCGTTTAATATAAACACCCATGTCCACCTGTATGCTTTTATTGAAAATGGTTCATCATGTGTGTGTGTGTGCTAATATTGTATATTTTACATACACCACTAGATATATGATAGTGTACATTACTGCAGTGTTTGTGGTCGGGAGACTGGATTCAGAGGGGGTACAGCGGCAATCTAAATATTGTTGAAGAACAGTGGGGACAGTGCCGCCAGTGGGACACGGGGCCCCAGTCTTGAAGCTGTCCTTGTGTCGTCGCTCCACCTATTGATGTGGGTCCCTCGTGCAGGGTGATCCAACTGTCCTGTGACCACGCAATTAATTGACCCCGAACTTGCTTTTTTATTTGAAAAAGAGGCGAGATTTAGAAAATCAAATGGGGGTCACAAGACATCTGGAGCACCGTCTGCATGGACAGCGACCAAGAGTGTATCGAGCAATCCATCGATCCAGTCCCAGATGCTCCATGGGTTTGTCTTGCTATTACATCATGATATGAAATACAATTGATCTGTTGCTAAGTCCTACTTCTGTCGGTGCAATATTCATTAAATTGTCTAAAATAAGAATCAATATTTTATGCCGCACAAAACACAATTTTAAACTGAAATGTTGGAAAAGTAACTTATCGTTTTTCCTGTTAAAATTGATCGCAAACATAAAAAAAAGTTGTGATTATAAAATTGGTAGAATCTTGTGCAATTTTTTTGTGGTTATGGAAATGTTTGTATGTCTGTATGTATGCCGAACTTCTTTCGCACCGTACGTAGCCAACTACGCTAATTCGAGGTGCGGGGGAAGGACAGCAAACTAAACACAAAAAGTAGTTCTCAAGAAATGTTTTCAATTTAGATTTAAAAGTGCATAACTCCCTCCAGTGGCTTCCAAATAAAAATATTACATAGGCTGACGAAAACCTTTATGAATTGAATAATATAAAGGTGGAGTATTTGCTGCTGGCAAGTAAAATTAATTGCTAATGTTAATCCATTGATTTAAACGATCAGCATATTTAGTCCTCCCATGTGAGGTTTTTACTTGGCTGAAGATGCTCCCAGCACGTGGAGCGGAATGTCAGACATCGCCCCAAACAACGCTCGGTACCACCTGAAATCACATCGGTGAGGTATCCACCACAACCACATCGGTGAGCTGTACACCACAACCACATCGGTGAGCTGTACACCACAACCACATTGGTGAGTTGTCCACCACAACCACATTGGTGAGTTGTCCATTACAACCACATTGGTGAGTTGTCCACCACAACCACATTGGTGAGCTGTACACCACAACCACATTGGTGAGCTGTACACCACAACCAGATTGGTGAGTTGTCCACCACAACCACATTGGTGAGTTGTCCATCACAACCACATTGGTGAGCTGTACACCACAACCACATTGGTGAGTTGTCCATCACAACCACATTGGTGAGCTGCACACCACAACCACATTGGTGAGCTGTAAACCACAACCACATTGGTGAGCTGTACACCACAACCACATTGGTGAGTTGTCCATTACAACCACATCCATGAGCTGTAAACCACAACCACATTGGTGAGTTGTCCATCACAACCACATCCATGAGCTGTAAACCACAACCACATTGGTGAGCTGTACACCACAACCACATTGGTGAGTTGTCCATCACAACCACATCCATGAGCTGTAAACCACAACCACATTGGTGAGCTGTACACCACAACCACATTGGTGAGTTGTCCACCACAACCACATTGGTGAGCTGTACACCACAACCACATCGGTGAGCTGTACACCACAACCACATTGGTGAGTTGTCCACCACAACCACATTGGTGAGTTGTCCATTACAACCACATTGGTGAGTTGTCCACCACAACCACATTGGTGAGCTGTACACCACAACCACATTGGTGAGCTGTACACCACAAACACATTGGTGAGTTGTCCACCACAACCACATTGGTGAGTTGTCCATCACAACCACATTGGTGAGCTGTACACCACAACCACATTGGTGAGTTGTCCATCACAACCACATTGGTGAGCTGCACACCACAACCACATTGGTGAGTTGTCCATCACAACCACATTGGTGAGCTGTAAACCACAACCACATTGGTGAGCTGTACACCACAACCACATTGGTGAGTTGTCCATTACAACCACATCCATGAGCTGTAAACCACAACCACATTGGTGAGTTGTCCATCACAACCACATCCATGAGCTGTAAACCACAACCACATTGGTGAGCTGTACACCACAACCACATTGGTGAGTTGTCCATCGCAACCACATCCATGAGCTGTAAACCACAACCACATTGGTGAGCTGTACACCACAACCACATTAGTGAGTTGTCCATCACAACCACATCCATGAGCTGTAAACCACAACCACATTGGTGAGTTGTCCATCACAACCACATCCATGAGCTGTAAACCACAACCACATTGGTGAGCTGTACACCACAACCACATTGGTGAGTTGTCCACCACAACCACATCGGTGAACTATTCACCACAATCACGCAAATGTACGCAACACTGTTAATAATCGAATGAATGCTCAAACTGTGCCAGCATGTGATTTAACGTGTTCACTTTTGCATTCCAATATACTTCAACACAAATCCCTACAAAGCCCGAAATGTATTTTGTATCGATATTATTAAAGGGGTAGCTTTCAGTTCAAGAGTGTCGTGGATTAAAATCTGAACAATATTTCAGTTTGCCGTTTACATGTCCGCACGCGCAGAAGTAGAAACTGAACATGAGTGGATGGTTTGAAAGGCTGAGAAAACAGTTTCTCATGTATTGCCCTGTCATACATTACCAATGTTCCTTTGCAAGCTCCATCGCTGAAGGGATTGGGGAAATTAACGATGTGCGTGGCTACATCAACGCCGTTCACATGTTTCTGTAAACGTTATTTTCATAGTAACACAAACAGCTTGAATCACGAAGAAGCCCTGACACAGCTCAATGTACAATGTACAATCTACAATGTACAATCTACAATGTACAATCTACAATGTAGCGCCGTAAAGTTGTAACGTTTTGTAACGAATTATTGTATCAAATCTTGTGTATTTTTAAAATCTACATATTTACACAAAATGTGCTGTCTATAGTAGCCCTTTGCTTTGTTTGCAATGGATGCAGTATTTAAGTGTCAATGTATTTATGCATATTTAATGCTTATTAAGTGTGCTACACAATGTAAAAGCATTTTGTATTGATAAACAGCAATATAATCGCTATCGTGTTTGCCTTATGCTCTATGTGCTTTGATTTTCAATCGATGAACTCCGTAATGTTTTCTATGATCAGTACACTCATATAAACGGTGTAAAATAAAGAATCTTTCCAACCGAGCGTGTTACTTCACGCACAAACCGTGAACCAGCACGTGGCTTCAGCCGGAGCTGTCCAGGCCTGAAAAGCAAAACAACATTGCGGCACCTGGCACACCTCCTCCTCCTCATCCTCCTCCTTCTTTCCTACGGCAGCTGATGTCGACGCAGATCGACGACGACGACAATGTCACACGCAGGTGGCCGAGCCGGATAACGGCGCCAGCAGCAGGAGCGGAGAGCCACTCGTGACATGCCAACTCGCGCTCTACCAGCGTCTGAGAAAGTATCCGGTCGTCATGAGCTGCCCGACACTGGGAATGGTTGCAGAATGAACAACGTGCAAAGGTGTGCATTGCGTGTATGCAAGCTTTCAAACGTTACACAAATATAAATCCGTTTATATTCTACGTTGTCATACAATAGTGGCGAAATGTTGGCATACACGCGTGCATCAAAACACAAGCCAATCGACACCACTGACAATGATCCAAAGAGCCCCAAGTTTAATGGGAACCGGAGCCCCACCCCCGCCTCTGCAACGTCTTGGACATTGTTGCCGTGTTGCTGAGAGACATCGGCCAATGACCGTCGCTGTGCAGGGACCCGGGTGCAAGCTACACAGCCAGACAACGCGACAAATCGCGAACCTTAAACACCCAGCC